GGAAATGTTAATGCTAATCTCCTGTGGTCCATACACGATACAGTGGATAAAATCGTACAAGTTTTACCACTGTCATCTGTCGACGGACATTTTGCTTATCCGAAAAAACTAAATAATAGCTAAAGAAGTGCGAATAAAAAAAGGGAAGCGCACTTCCTCTATCCTCCCACCTATGTAATTTATCCTCATTATACCACATTAATCTACAATCAAAAAACGCCGTCGCCAAAAACTTGAGATCAAATCATTCGAAACGAAATTAGCGTCGGAGCCCGTGTAATCCGCTTCAAGGCCGGTTGTTTGAAAAATAAAGGTTTTTTGTGTTGCGCAGGCCACCGAGGCAATTATCTTACAACAATGCGACAGACTTCCATTGAAAAAAGCTTTTTCGAAATGCTCAGCCGACTGAGATGAACGTACCATTTTTAAGAGAACGAAATATTGGAACTTTAGAGCTATATTTAAAGATGTATGTGGACCGACCCTTTGATAAATTTAGCGAACTTATAGACATAGGAATAATAGAAGTTAAGAACATCATAAGAATACTTTTTCTAATACAAAACCGACTCAAAATTCTGGTTCACTTGGGCCTTAAAACATATTTGCTTCGCTTTGAATTGAACCTACATATGAATACGAGCCCTTACCATATTACATAGTTTTAACAGGAAACATGCAACCTGAGCTGGTAACAACTAGACACCCTGTATCCGTTACGAGGTGCAAGGAATGTAATCGATTGCCGACCTAGGAAGCTAGCGTGTGAGGTGGATACAAGCCACTGTATGAAGTTACAATTACGAACTTGATCTGGGAATAATCACTTACAATTGTTTGTGCTTACAGAACGAAAGCGGCACAATTTCGCTACTTAAATGAATAGTTCCGTATACATATAAGTATTGCATTTCAGTGTTTATGTAAAACTTCATTGGTGTTATCTTTGTATCATTTGTATTTTAATCTTAACATAGATTTTCGGTCGAACCCTTCCCTTCTACTTGATTGCGTGACATCCGCTCCGTCTTCAACAAAAACGAGTCTCTCCAACGACCTTGCTATTGTCTCTCAACCTGTCATTTGCTCCTTTTTTGCTCAACGCCAGCCTCCAGGCTTCCCAACAGTCCTTTGTGAACGTTTTACTACAACTATAATATAAAATAACACTTAAATACTGTGGGAGCTTTTATGACGAACGTCAAATTATGTTTTATTGAAACTTGTAATGATAAGTTGGAGTATTTTGTTTAATGACTTCCAAATAAAAATATCTGTTCAGAAATGACGGTGTTCTGAGATGTGTATTTTAAAATAAACTCTAAAACCTTATTCTCTCGTTTCAGATGGTGTCATTCGCGGGTATACTATCGAGTGGGTGCTCGGTGCACGCTCGGTTCCTGCTGTGCTCTGCGTTCGCTCCGCTATGCTCGGAGGAGGTGTCCGGCTCCGTGAGCGCTTGTCGTGCGCTCTGTGAGACCGTGGTCGACGACTGCAAGGAACAACTCAAGCAGATGCTGCCCAGCATCGTCCTCGACTGCTCCGCGTTCCCGCTCCGAGCTGACCGGAGGTTGTGCATGCGACCACCCAATGCTAGCGAGTCGTCAGAACCTGAACCACCACCAGCTTCAAGATGGCCGTTCCACGATCATGAAATAAGAGAACATGGATGTCCACCAGCATACACGAGAGCCCCCACAGGCGAGTGCTGGCCCGCGTGCGGACAACATGCTAGATACAGTCAGACTGACAAGAGGAAAGCAGAAATATGGATGAACACACTGGCGTGGTTCTCTCTACTGTCCACGTCATTCGCACTGCTCACATTCTGTGCGGAGCCGTCGCGGTACCGGTACCCGGAGCGACCAGTAGTGTGGATGGCGGCGTGCCATGCGATTGTAGCCCTAGCGTACGTCACTCGAGGCTGGCTGGGGGCTAAGATGGTGTCCTGCTCTGGTAACACACTAGCTGTGGAGGGCCTGGCGTCTCCGACCTGTGTCGCCTTCTTCTCGTTCACCTACTACTTCACACTAGCGGCGGACGCATGGTTCGCTAACGCGTGCGTGGCGTGGTACCTGACTGCGGCCAGTGAATGGTCTACTGAGGCATTAGAACGAGCTGCTGCGTACCTTCACGCAGTGTCGTGGGGCTGGGCAGGAGCATGGACGGCTGCTGCCTTAGCGTTGAGGAGAGTGACCGCTGACGAACTGACCGGAACGTGTGCAATATCAGACGCTGCAGCGGCAGCGTTAGTGGGAGTACCGAGAGGTGCACTGTTAGTGACGTCTGTGGCGTTGGCGATTGGGGCATGTCCCGGTATCATGAGGGTACGACGTGCGTTGGACTCGCGCGGCGCTCGGAGAGTGGGGCGGCTGGCGGCGCGCGCGGCGGCGGCGGGGCTGGTGTACCTGTCGCTGGCGGCGCTGAGCACGGCGGCGCGCGTGCTGGACGCCAGGCTGCGGGAGCGGCGCGCGGGGCTGGCGCTGCTGGGCG